GCAGGCTGATGCTGCTGCTGCTGATGCTGTTGCTGCGGGGTCTGCTGCTGATGTGGAAAGTGAGCCTGCTGTTGATGGCTGGCGAGGAAGTGCTGCTGAGGCACTTGTGGAATAACCAGCGCGGCTGTTGAGGTGGTGACACCACGCCCAAAGTCCGCCGTCTGTGACTGCTGCTGCTGGTTGAAGCGGTAATCCGGAGTGACCTGCGGTGGCTGGTACAAAGTGGACGCGCTGCTCGTGGTGGGATGTGCGGATGTGCTGGCGCTGGCGCTGGCTCGCGCCTCAGTCGTGGCCGTTGCGCATTTCAGTGCTTTCATCGGTGGATTGCTCGGTTTGCTGCTGCTGCTTGCGGAGTTGGAGGTGGGTGTGGAGCTGGTTGTGGAAGAGGCGGCTCCGTTGGAGCAGGCTGCCACGAGGGAGGAGGATAGAGGTGGTGGTGCTGGTGGCAGCACAGGCGCTGTTGCAGCTGATATGGTATTGACCACGACTGGTTTGACATCGCCGCCAGAAGGTAGTGATAAGACTGCCGGTTTCTCATCGGCACTGGCTTCGCCGCCGCTGGTTCCACCTCCAGTTCCTCCTGTCAGCATGGCGGCAGCGAGAGCACTACCCATGCTGTTGCCACCGTTTCCAACGATCGTCATCTGCACCAGCGCCTTGATCACTTGCTCCTTGGGATGCGTCTCCAAGTGATCGGAGAGATTCATTCCCGCATGCAGGTACAATGTGCACACGGGGCATTGGACGCTGTTGTCGACCATGATGACAATTTTATATTGTTCTATGTGTGGCTCCTGCCTACTCCTACTCCTGCTCACTGGCTGCTCCTGCTCTCTGGGAGCCTGGCTTCTAACTTTCTAGTGCGACGGATGACTGGCTTGGCTGCCCTTCAGAGTCATAAAACAACGTATCTCCTTGGCTTGACGTCCATCTTGCTCAATCCTCTGATTCGACGCGGGCGAGCTGCAATGGAGAACAAAGAATGTCAGAATGTTGATGCCAGAAGTCTCTGTACCAGTCCCTGGGCTCATTCTGCGCTCCGATATCAGCGTCTTCGGTGAAACGATACCCGATATGCGAAGAATGCGCCATCCGGCAATCCAAACGATCAAGTATCCGCGGAATGCGTGCAGTGAAATCTTAAGAAACGCGGTTTTACGAAACCAATCTAACTTTAAGAAGAGGTGGATACTTTAATAACAAACCCCTACTTTCTATTTTAGGGAGGCGATTTTGATTGAAAGGAGGAACTCCTTAGGATGTACATCGTGCGTGCTACCTGTTATCAGTTAATCATATTGCACAATTAGAACTACAAATATGTTTTACTATCAGGTGTAGCACCAAAGAATCAGTACAAAACTTTCAATGCAAGTTTCTTTGTAGTGACTAATTTCTTTAACAGCCACCAAGATAAAAGCACGAGAAAAAAATTCAACAAAGGCTGATGAAGATAGGCTGATAAGAGCACATTTCTAATGATTTTGGATTACCAGTAATAATTCGTTCTTTAGAAAGCTACTAAGTAAAAACAATTAATCATATTGTGCATTGTTAACAATTAAGCATCTCAAAGGATCAAAATGAGAAAATAAGTGACTCGACGAACAGTCATTGTAAGAAGTTGGGGCTACAGGAATATTGACTGAAACAAGCTGACTCAATCTTAACAGTCACCTAAAAGTCTATTTCCCATTTTCGAAACCAGTGGGGCCCTTTTTAAATCGATTCAATTGATTTAGTAAATCTACTTCTAATATTTAAGTTTCTAAACTTATTCTCTTATTAACGAGAGTGGCGCATAAGACCAACATGAGAATTTTGATTAGAAGGTCCTGCTTGGAAGAGAGGAGAGGCTTTTAACTTCCAGGTGTGAGTCGTGGGCAGTGGAAATGGCGGATTGGAATGCCGGCCGCAGATTGGTGAGACAACTTCTGGAGCAGCTTTTTTCGCTCGGGGAGCCAGAGCAGCAGGAAGAAACGGAATCAGAATCGGAAAAAAAGAGGCAACGACCCAGACCCAGACCCAGCCTGCTGACGAGTTATTGGCCGTTCCTCTGGTTTGCCTTTTGCTGCTTGCCTTTTACGATAACTTTTGCTTTTATTTATAGTCTGTCTGTAGACCAATATTTGCTGGCTTCTTTTTTGGGATTTGGCCATCTCTGCAAGGGTGGCTCTTTGTTTGGGGGCGAAGGACAATGCGAGGGCTGCACATAAACAGCGGCAAACAAATGTCTACGTCTGTTGCTATTGATTTTTCCTTTGCCAAAGGTTACACACACCACGCACACACTACACCCACATGCACACATGCACACACAGACAGTCGAAAAAAGAGGAGCACACGGTGCGTAAATGCATTATGATTTAGTCCAATATCCCACTTTGCAGCAACAACAATCGCAGCCAACCTTTTTCCCAGTGTGGAGGCGTGCGTGTGTGTGCCTTAATGTCGCTGATCTTGCCACTTATTGTACGATTTTTTCTGCTGCTTATTATTCACATAATTACAGACACACACTATTTAAAAATGCACATATTTCCGCTTTTGTTCACCAGCCATAGCCATCGATTTCGTTTTCGTTTCATCCATGGAATGAAATGACACTTCCACGAAGAGAGGACGCCAGCTAATTACCAGTATCGATCGAGGAGAGAGAGCGAGCGGCTGAGAGCGTATCCTTGGAAATGGAAAGAGTGAGGTGCACCTGCGGCCGCTTGAGTATGAAGAGGCAGTGGATATGGAGGAGGAACAGGAGGACCAGGAGCTCCTGACTCTCTTCTCTTCTTCTTTTTCTCGTTCAATGACACAGAAATCTTTCCTCTCGTCTTCCGCTTTGTGCGCTCCTTCTTCCAATATACAAGCGAGCTTTTTATATGTGCGAGTGCGAGTACGACTGCGAGGCCATCGCTGCGTTTATCTCCCTCTGTCTGTGTGTGTGTGTGCGTTTGTGTGTGTTTGAGTGCGTGTGGCTACACACAAAGTAAAATTTTCAAGCACGTTTTTCATGCAGTGCGAGCCGTTTTTGGTCTACTGTCGCATCTAAAACGAATAAACGCCACTTTCATCTACACTTTGGTGTACAATTCGTGCAATTTGCTGCGCTTTTCACTACCGAAAACCGTTTAAATCGTTTTCACCTTGCGACAAGAAAAATTACAACACCAAGCGTTGAAGTGCTGCAAAACGTATGCGGGCTGCGGGAACTTACCAGCACTAGCAGTGGTGGTATTTAAGGCTGAGCAGTCCCTTTAGCTATTTTCTCGCTAAATATAACATTTTTAGGTGATGCCAACAGACGGGAATAGCAAAAACTCGATCAAAAATGTTAATCTGTTAATTCTTTTCTCAGGTTTATAGATTTGAAAATATAATAAAACGGTTTGTTAATCGTTTATTTTAATTCGTTTAATACCGCCTTTTTTCCAAAAAAAAAAAACATGTATTTGAGTCCCTGGTAAGGGAAATTGCTCAAGTAGAAGAAGAAGAAGCATCAAGCCGGAACGCAGGGAATTATTTAGACAAATTTGTCAACGCTTGCTAAGATTTTCTCGAATTTGTGCATTAAACAATAGTAAACAGCCGATATGACAGATAAGGCGCAGGAACAAAGTATTATGGACAAGTCCATGCGGTCGGTTTTTGTAGGGAACATACCCTACGAGGCCACCGAGGAGAAGCTGAAGGAGATTTTTAGCGAAGTGGGCCCGGTTTTGTCACTGAAGTGAGTTTCTTTTTATTTATAGCCTTGCAATACCCTACTCAAACCTCTTATTCCTAATCTTCCAGACTAGTCTTCGATCGGGAAAGTGGCAAACCCAAGGGCTTTGGCTTCTGCGAGTACAAGGACCAGGAGACGGCTTTAAGTGCCATGCGGAATCTGAATGGCTATGAGATCGGTGGCAGAACATTGCGCGTGGACAACGCCTGTACGGAGAAGTCGCGCATGGAGATGCAGCAGCTGCTTCAGGGACCCCAGGTGGAAAATCCCTATGGTGAGCCCTGCGAGCCGGAGGATGCTCCCGAGCTCATCACCAAAACTGTGGCATCCCTGCCGCCAGAGCAAATGTACGAGCTGATGAAGCAGATGAAGCTCTGCATCGTGAGCAATCCTTCCGAGGCACGCCAGATGCTCATGCTCAATCCTCAGTTGGCCTACGCTTTGCTCCAGGCCATGGTGGTTATGAGGATCGTGGATCCGCAGCAGGCACTCGGCATGCTCTTCAAGGCCAACCAAATGCCTCCCGTTTTGGGTGGCAATCCGCACCAGGGCCCAGGAAACCACTCCATGATGGGGCAACAACAGGTTCCGCAGCAGCAGGTGCAGATCCCGCAGCAACAGCAGCAGGTTCCTCAGCCGCCAATGCCTGTTCCCGGACCTGGCTTCCCATCCAATGTCCATCCAAACGATATTGATTTGCGCATGGTGCCTGGTGGACCAATGCCGATGGATCCCAGGATGATGGGCCGTGGCATGGACCAGGATTTGCGTGGTTCCTTACCCAATCCAGTGCCTCCGCCACTGATGGATCCCCGAACTCGTGCTCAGATGCCCCCACAGCAGCAGGCGCAGGCGCCACCGGCCCCCTATCCCAGCGATCCGCGCCAGCGTCCCATGGATCCCAGGTTAAGGGCAGGTCCTGGCCCTCAGCAGCAGGCACCACCGCAAGGCATTCCCCAAGCGCCGCCACCAACACAACAGCAACAGGCGGCCGCTCAGCAGTTGCAGAGCAGACTAGGCGCCCATGGAGTCCTGCCCTCGGATGCCTCCGACCAGGAGAAGGCTGCCCTTATCATGCAGGTGCTTCAGCTGTCCGACGAGCAGATTGCCCAGCTGCCCTCCGAGCAACGGGCCAGTATCCTCATGCTCAAGGAGCAGATTGCCAAGAGCACTCAACGCTAAATCTACTTCGGCTAACACAATTGGAAAATCACTATTTTGATCATGCTTACTATACTTTTCTTTACTTTACACTTTCAATATGAACCAATAAATAAAAAGAACATTTTCACACATGGAGATTTATTAGCCAGAATTACGCTGTGCTCAAAGAGCGGAGACTAGGGTCTGGTGTAACTTCTGTACCGTCGTGTTGAGCATTTGGCGAAGCACATCATCTTCGGAACAGTTAATGACCTGAAAAAATGACAGATTATCGATATGTACGCCTTTAGAAAGGCTCTTCGACGAACACTCACAAGGGTTTCCAGGTTTATTTCCGCACGTTTCCCGCTCACCGTTACTGGCAGCAGATCGCCCTTGAACATTTTTGGCACGCAGTTGTCGCCGAAAGTGTCCTGTAGTGTCTCGATGAGGCACTCCCGAAAGCGGGAGTCCTCTGACTTGGTTTGCTTTGTGGCGCCCTTCAGATTCGTTCCTCCCAACTCCGATTGCATGATGCAGGCGAGAACGGCATCGGCGTACACATCATTCACGTGCGTCGCTTGCCACTCCATCACAATGATTTTCTGCTCCACAGTCAGCTCGATGCAGCCGAAAACCCGCAGCTTTCGCTCCGCCTCCAGCACCTCCACGCATCCGGCTCCAATGCGATCCAGTAGAAGCTCTAGAGTAGTCAGCGAGCTGCCCCAAGGAATCGACTGGCGTTGGGTTACAACAGACATGCTCATGTCCGTGTATTCTGTGGCAATTTTTTGATTGAATTAATTGGAATTTTTACAAGGAAATTATTCAATGTATTACTTACTGCCCAGATCAGAAGGAGCCAACAAATGGTACTTGAAGTCGCGTTTAACAAGAACGCCTGAGAGTTTGCTTCCCACCTCCGAGTTCTTGGCAGCGAGGCTTCCCATCACCTTTGCGGTTTTCTCGCCTCGGAAGTAAAGGTCCACGGCATGCGTGTTCCGCGGGTTGTAGAACTTTATATCCGTGCTCGCATCTGCTTCGTATTCCCTCTGTAGGGCCAACTTCAGACGCGACATCTCGTTCTGTTCCCCGTGGACGAGCACGACATGCGTTGGTCTTAGCAGGCGGATGAATTCACTAGTCTGCTGGTAGTCCGTGTGAGCCGAAAAGGATATGTAGTCGACGGACATGTTGAGCGGCAGCTTCTGACCCGACAGTGTGGTGATCTCCTCCGGTTCGGAGAGAACGGCTTTGGCCAAAGTGCCTTCCACGCAGTAACCGGCTATGATCACTCCGTTCTTGGGATCTGTACACCAGCTCTCGAAGAGCTCACGCGACAATCCCGACTGCATCATACCAGGCGAAGCCATGATTACACAGGGCCCTATATCCTCGAAGTGATCGATGCCCTTCAGGTTGGAAATGTGGCGGAAAACGAATGGATTGTTCACTGCTATCTGACGTCTTATTCGATCATTCATGGCATTGATGTAAGTCTGGTAGACAGCCATGCACTTCTTGGCCAGAGATGAGGCATAGTAGATGGGAATCTCATGCAGATCCGGGTTCTGTGACCAGAATTCATCCAGAATAAGTAGCAGTTCTTGGGCACGGCCCAAGGCGAATACAGGGATCAAGCATCTGCCGCCTTGCTGTACTATTTTCTGCACCAGCGAGGTAAATCGGTTCTCTCGATCCTCTCTTTTCTCGTGGACGTGAGTGCCGTAGGTGGACTCTGTGATAAGAACATCCGGCTTCATGGGTGGGACCTCGGCGGCCATTAAATGTCGATCCTCCTGCCGCGAGAAGTCACCAGTGTACAAGATCTTGATACCAGCAATCTCGATCATGAACATGGCAGCTCCCAAAACATGACCAGCAATATAGGCACAAAAGCGCACGCCCATCACATCGCGTTCCTCGTGGAAATTGATCGTCTCGATCTTCTCCATGGAGGCCTCCAGATCAGCTTCCGTGTACAGCATTTGCTCGGTGGATATGTTACTGATCTTGATGTAATCGGACAGCATCCATCGGTAAATGGCTTTAGTGGCATGGGTCATGAAGCAGCGGCCTTTGAAGCTGGTCTTCATGAGGAACCAGGGCAAGGCGCCACAGTGATCCAAGTGGAAACTGGTAATTATAAGGATTCACCATTAAAAGTTGAATGGCCATCTAATCTCTGCAGTACTCACTGTGAAATAAACAGCAGATCAATCTCATCCGCCTCTATTAGATCAACGTAGGGCAGGGCATCCATGCCGGACAATCCCGGATGGATTCCGCAGTCCAGCATAATCTTCTTGCCCTTGAATTCCAACATAATGCAGGAGCGTCCCACTTCCTGGCCAGCACCACTAAAATATAAACGTTCCCGCTGAGTTTCGTGAATATAGATTAAATCAAGTTTCCTTACAGTGGCTTAATCTGCAGCAGGTCGCTTTCCTCATCTGGCATGCGTGCATCACCTGTTGCCTGCGTCATGATGTCTAAAACAATGTAGTCAATAACCAAACAACTTTACAAATCGCCGGCAACAAAACGCTGTGCTGAGCAGTGTGACCAAAGTTTATTGACTGACGGTAAAGACCTGTTCACACGAAGGCCATAAAAGAAGTTATAGTTAAGTTAAGACGATTTATTTATTCTCGTACACTTTCAAAGTAACCATTCATTTTTTCATTTGAATATAGATACGAATAAAAATGGCTATTAATTTTTCGCGATGCTTTGAACCCTTCTAGTTGGGCCTCGCGTGACCTGGCCACACTGATTGCCACACGAAAGTCGAACAAATAAAGGAAAACTATTTTGGACAAATGGGAGGATCCAGCTACGATGGTGAGCAGTGGGATTTATTGGATACATGCCATACAACTCATCCCTCCTATCGACCTCCCACACAGTGCTCAGGAAGCAGGCGCGGAGCCTGGAGAACGAGATCGACCTGAAGCTGGTGGCATTCAGCAAAATTGGAGCGGGCAGCGGAGGAGGTGGAAGTGGAGGATTAGGAGGTGTTGACACATCGCCACTCCTGGGCGAGCACGTCTTCGATTCGCTGTCGGAAGAGATCGAGCAAATGCTGGAGAAGGTGGGATAGGTGACCCAAGTCCATGAGATAGTACAGGGATTAAAACTTAAAGCTGGGACTAAACCCAAAGAAATATAGTTCTGATTCCCCTTAATTAGACCCGCACCGAAAGCCTAACTAGTTTCCTACTCAAGTTTTCCAAAAATGATTAAAAGCAGAATTCAACACACATTTGAAAAAAAACTGCCACGATTGCGATACTGCGATGAAAAACATTCCATTACTTTTCAAGTTGCCACAAAGCCTCTAGGAACCTGTAAAACAAACTTATTTTTATATTATTCGGGTTTTATTTCATTTCTTGCGGTCTTTGCTAGATTCTTTAAAAGAAAACGATTGACTAAGTCACCTTGGATCCGCTAAATGAAATACTTAAATGGATAACTTGAATGATAAAAATGTACCGCCAGCACAATTGTCGGAATGAATGAATCACCCGACAAGACCACAAAATGTTCAAATTGTGTTTCCTAAAATATTTGGAGTTTTGAGTAAAACATTGATTTCTTGCTTGCGTTCTGCGAATTTTCCGTTTCCGGAGCAGTGAATATAACTATGCCATCCTTCTTGATTGCAGCTATCATCGTTAAATGAGTCCATGTCCGATTTGCCCGCCTCGGGAGCAGCCGCTCTGCACACACTGCAGAGGCATCGGGAAATACTGCAGGGGTACCGCCAGGAGTTCAATAAGATCTGCGCCAATCACACAATGCGAATCGAGCGCGAGGAGCTGCTTCGTGGCTCTGGATTGGCCACCAGCTCCGGCAGTCCATCCATCTCGGGCCTGAACCGGCGAGAAATGTACCTGAAGGAGAGCGGGCACCTGAACAGCGCCAGTCACCTGGTCAACGATCAGATTAACATTGCCATCGAGACGCGCGACCATCTGCACGCCCAGCGACAGGCATTCAAGCGGCTGCAGACCCGCTTTAACGATATCTCCAATCGGTTCCCACTGATTTCCAGGTGAAATAGAAAATATTAAGTGGATTTATGCACATTCACTTATCCAATAATTGTCCAATGTATATTCACAGTCTCATTCAGCGCATCAATATCAAAAAGCGACGCGATTCACTGATCCTAGGGGCAGTTATTGGCTTCTGTGTGATCTTGCTGCTGCTGTACGCCTTCAACTAGTGATTCGCCACCCCAATTTGGCCAAAGATAGAGCTTGCATTCGACTTCAATACAGACAATTGCAATTTTAGTTTGGTTTTTCCGAAGGTATATGTGTATGATTAACTTGTGATAGCAATAAATGTACAATGTAAGAGAATCCCAGCAGCTCTTAATTCTTATGTCAAGTAGCAATCAATAACTTTAGGCAATAGCAAACATAACTTATATACAAAAAGCAACCCAAAACATTTATAGACAGTCCTAAACTTAGGACTCACTAACTACTAAAACGACTTCAATTGTATAGAGATGGCTGAAAATCCCCCCGAAGAGGCCTCTCCCATAGATCGTGCTGAGGGGATTCCAGCCGCGGAGGATGCTCCCAATTTAGTAGCGATCGCTGAAGCGGTTGAGGGGGCAGAAGTTCAAGGTGATGCAGCTGACGCAGATCAAGGCGTGGAAGAAATAGTCGATGGAGGTACCGAATCAGTGTTGCCTGCCGAGGATGACCAAGCCTCAAAGGAAGGCCGGGAATCTACAACTAAACACAAGGGTCCTGTTACCGCCGACGAACGAAAGCGCGAAAAGCTGCTGAGGATTAAGGAAAGGCTCGCTAAGAAAAAGGAGGAAGAGGCTTCGCATGCTGCCATGGTGGAAGCTCCAGTAGAATCTGAGGAGATGCAGGAAGTCGAGGCCAGGGAGGAACTCCATTCCGTGGAATCGGGCGCCGAAGAGTCCGCAGATGATTTCGAAGATATACAGGCCATACTCAGCGAAAAGCCCCCGACTCCTCATGAAAGCATTATTATCGAAGAGGATGTCGAGTCGGAAGGCAGCATTGATGAGCCCTTGCCCAGGCTGGGAATGTCCATAAAGAGTGAGTTTATCCGCGGGTTCGAAAGCCTGCCAAGCATATCGGACATATCACTCGATCCGGAACCAGAAGCCCAAATTGAGTCCGGTGCCCAGAAATCCATTTCAAGGCTGGATACAGAAAATGAGGGTGAGGTACAAAAGGATGACACAGAAGATCCGGGTGAGGGCGAGTCTTCGGACTCCGATCAAGATGCTAGCACTGCTCAAATTGCGGCGGATGAGTCCGAAGAGGACGAGGATTCCGTGCTTATGGATGACCTGCCGGATGAGCAAGCGCAGACAGAAAAACAAGTCATTATTGGGGAGGAGGTGGACACCATGGCCATGTTTGCTGTGGCCATCGATGCGGAAGTGCAGCCCCAGCAGGAGGTGGTTGTTCCCGTGGAGGAACCCTTCTGGTATCGCCTCACTGTCGATTTCCTAAACAATCTTATCAATACCGTAGTGGATAATGTGGAGAGCGCCGACAAGAACAAGGAGCACTTGTTGGACAAACGCAAGATGTTGCTGGAGCTGCAGCGCCTGGTAGACGAGTACACCTCCGAGAAGTACCAAAACACCCTAGTGAACAATGTCGTCTGTGACTACTTCCGCCGCAATCGTAAGTTCAACAATTTTCAGCCACTGCCACCAGACGATGTTGCTGGCGAGTTCAACCGCTACATGAATGCCCTCAACTCGGTGGACAATCTGATGGAGCGAGTGAAGATGATCAAGATGAAGTACGGACACAGCACGTCGCGCGCGATGCTGGAGCTCAACTCGTATTCTGTCCTCGCCTTCAATGAGGAGCAGCGCCTGGAGGGATTCATGCGCAAGACCCTCATCCGCAAAGACATGGATCGCTTGAAGCGCGCCCTGGACAACGATCTCAGGCGCATGCAGGACCTTCGCAACCAGATCAGCGAGAAGCGCTACGAGCTTAATTTGAACCTTCACAACCTAGCATTTGTGGATGAGGTGAGGGCGTAGTGTTAGGAACTTTCAGTCTTGTCTATGTGTATACATACATATTCTCCCACAGAAAGTGATGAAATTCGAGAGGGTTACTGAGACGTTGACCATTTCCCAAATGCTCTGCGCCAACGAATCCATAATACAGTTGAGCAAGCAATTGGAGGGTAAATTAGTGACCTCTTTTTAAATTCACGTTTGTATGCGTGTAAATTTTTGTACAGAAAAGTGCAAGGATGTTGCGGTCATGCAGTCGAACTACAAGAAGTCGATGATCGAGGAGACGTGCGTTCGAGAGAAGCGGGACATGATTGCCTACATGCTCTCCAAGGCGAGGGCCGAGTACATACACCGCTTTGAGCGGCGGAACAGTCTGCGCAAGGATCTGACCAGGCTGCAGCTGGAGCACGCCCACCTCAAGACCGTGCGGGCCAAGCTGGAGGTCAAGGGCGGACTGCTCTTCAAGGCGGGCCTGATGTACGACTACGACAAGTGCATGGCCGACATAGAGACTCGTCGCGCCCATATCCAGGCCATGAAGAAGACCTGCAAGGAATTGGGGAAACGCATTCAGACTGTGGAACACTCCAAGCAGTCCAATAATTCGATACGGTTTCTTAGTTAATTAGGATGCATTTCTAATTTTCTAAGGATTTTCACAAATAAATTTGAGTGCATCTTGTATGACTATCATGACTATGTTGACCATTAAACGATCTTCTTCAAATTTCAAAAAGGGTATTCAACGTAAATTGCTTTCAGGAATTCAATTGTGGGAAATGTTCCGTTTCCATGATGTAATTTGATTTCAATTTTATGAAGATATATTTACAAATATATTTCCCCGCCGATTTCAGGCGATAATATTTTACGGTATTTTTCTGCCTGTCGATAACCAATCGGAGGTGCGATAGTCCAGCCCTGGCAACCAGCTGTTCGGCGATGTGATAATAATTTTGGTTTTTGTACCCAACACGTTTGACCCAAAACAAAATCCAGGCATTGCTGAATAAAAATCTACATAAAATGTCAGAGATGTCCGCGCTGCCCAACGCCGTGAACAATGAATCGTCGGTGGCGGCGCCCAGGATGTTCGGCGACCCGGACTTGGACCGGATGGCGATGCAGTATGTGGGCAACATGCAGCACTACCGCGAGAACATCGTAATCCCCAAGAGCAACGGCCCGGTGAAGATCAAGACCAACGAGGAGAAGTTCATCGAATCGGCGGTGGAGAGCTGTGGATTCAAATGCACCATGGCCTGTGTGATGGGTGGGTGACTATCTCTGCTTCTCAACCTAATTGTTCATAATCAAGGCACTTATATACAGTCTCTTCTTGATTTTCTCAGAGGAATATATTTTCGAGTCGTTGGACATTTGAAATATGTACGATCCTTGATCTATCTACGATTATTGTTTTATAACAATACCTATTTATACGATTCTCCGCCCTCATATAATTATTATTATCGGTAAAAATATTTTTTAAACAAATCAAATTATAATAATATGTTATCAGTTATTAATTGGTTGATTTAATGGTTAAGAACTAGCTTCAGACTATTTGGATTCCCCTTTTTTAGTGAATAAAATAGAAGAATTTAAGTCAATCCATATTCAATTTCAGGCTATGGCTTGGGCGCAGCCTTAGGTTTGTTCAGCGCCTCCGTTAATCCCAACATGTCCGATCCCTTCGCGAATGAGAAGAAGCAGACGGCCAGGGAAGTTTTCCGTGAAATGCGCTCCACCACCCACTCCTACGCAAAGAACTTTGCGCTCATCGGATGTGTATTCTCTGCCGTGGAGTGCACCATCGAGAGTGTAAGTCCACCTGCTGAAAAGCGTCTTGCGAATTTTGCATTAAATCGATGCATTTCTGAATTTGCAGCATCGGGGCGTCACGGACTGGAAGAATGGGACCTACGCCGGAGGCTTCACAGGCGGACTGATTGGCCTGCGGGCTGGCGTTAAGGCGGGCATCATCGGCGGACTGGGATTCGCCGCCTTCTCCACGGCCATCGACTACTATATGCATTCTAGATAGGCTCATATTCTTCGGTTACCTTGTTTCGTATAAATGTTTGTTTCTAACTAACGTCTACTGATATGCTTTTGTGAATTGCCGCCAAGGAAACGATTTCGTCACGACCTGTAATGGCCCCCATTTCCGGCTGGCTCCCATTTGGAGCCCTGACATTTGAAAAAGTGCAGCTGCCACACATTAATATTGCCCCCCAATCAAAAAGGCACTGTGTGGCATAAACAATGTGCCACAGTCTCGCTTTCAAATTCGGCCAGTGAGCTCCCGACCGGTTTTCTTTTCGGGGGGGCACTGTGTCCATTTTTGTGGGAACGCGAACGGGAATCTCGATCCAGCAGCAAATTTCCAGTTTCGGTTTTTTGTTCAGTTCGACTCGAGCGGCGGGCAGGTAGAGATCGTTTGTTGGCTCCTCTGCGCCAAGGTTTCCGTTTTCGGCGTCAGCCTTCTCGCGTGTTTCTTCTCCGGACGAGGATGAGCATCGTTCCCCAAGCAGCTGCAAAAGTGCATCAGCAGCAACATCAGCAAGATCACCAGTAACCACAGCAACGCAAACGGGTTTCATTCGCACTCGACGGGCATTTACTTTTATTGTGTGTGCGGTTGGGTCGCGTGCAGTTCACGGAATATGCAAAAGCCTTCATCATTAAATTAAACACAGACTAACGACTAGTAAGCACATGGAACTTTGCCACGGATGTGCGTCCTCCTCCCTTGCGGTTTCTTGAAAGGAAAGGCACTGGAGGAGAGGCGACAGAGATCAAATCTCTCAAAGGAACATTTACAGTGGACATTGGATAAGGAATCAGACTGATGCTTGTTTTGCTAGCATCAAAGGCGGGCTTAGAGGGCAAGACACAACTGATGGTAGATGGTGTTATATTAATACATTATAATCAAACTGATTTTTCATTGGTAGATATCAGGCAGGTAAAAAGGGCATTAGAAATATTTATTCAAATGTTAAACATTTGATTTTTATTAGGAGCAGTTATTTTTTGTATCGACTGTAAAAGCTAATTGAGTTTCTTCAGAATCTACAATCTAAGCGGTGTCCACTGTACTTGCCTCCAATGCGATCGTGAGTCACAAGTGTCTGGGCAACATTGGTCTGGCTGTGCTCGGTTAACTTCGTCAGTGTTTTGTTTATGCAACCCATTCCCGAGCCACAAACACTTCTTGTTTGCCTTTCTCATCGGCGGCAGCTGCGAACAGCTCAATTCTCAATTCTCGATTCTCCATTCTTCGCTCTCGTTTCTCGATTCTTAATTCCCGATGCCAGCCGTCAGCAAGTTCAATGGAACCAAGTGACACTTGCAATTGCAATCGCCTCTAATTGGCCCTTCGGCCAGTGAATCAAAATTTGAGTAATGTCTAGCAGCTGTGGGGCTAAGTTGAGTCAACTGACGGTCTGTTTTTGGGCTCCAACGCCACTTGTTGCCACATCGAAAGTCAGTCTTATCTTATCGCAGAACAATCTAAGCGAAGCTAAACAATACAGTGCGACTTCTAAAGCTCGAATAACTTGAGTACTGAATTTATTAAATAAATCCAAGAAAAGGTTAAATTAGTTGTGTTTTGAAGAAATCTTTAGAAAAATATGATGATAAATATCTTTATGATGATCATTTAATATTTACAACTTATTAATAGATGAAAATCATAAATAAGTTTTGAACGCAACATTACGTAGATCACATTCGCGGCAAATCGGTCCGATTTGTGAGATCTATTGTTACATATTTTCTAGAGATACTGAAAGTCGACTTAGGGGTGCTAGACTGTACGGCTCGTGTGCTCGCAGAGCGATTGCACTTTAGCCAGGTGGGTTACGGTGGCTACGAGAAATTAGCTGACAAAGAACGCTGACGACCTTGGGAGAGGAAAGAAAGCGGCGAGGAGGGGAGAGTCCAGAGCAGAGGAGTCCGCAGATGACTCAATTAGAATTCACTTTTACTTGACTGACCGTTTAGATTACAATCTCTGCGCTGAGAGCGCGGGAGAGTGAGAGTGTGGCGCTGAGAGAGACTCGCTTCCCCTGCTTACCGATATCTAATCAAAACAAATAATGCCGCAGTCCACGGCGGCTCTTCTCGAATCATTAATTCAGTTCTATACTGCGAGGCGAGCAGTCCGCTCACTGAGCGCTGCGGTGAAAAATAAGAAAAATAATAAGTCAAACTTTTAGAGGAAACTCTAAAAACCAAAAGTGCACTTTCCACAAACTCAAAAGATACAACCAACAGAACTCGAAATCTAGTACGCCTGAGTGGGAAACACCGAATCCAAATCATTACCCGATTCCATAATGAAGCACAAGCTTCTGCTGCTGGTGAGTAAATATTTCAGCCCTCCAAAACAGTATCCCTATCTTATCGCACATACTTTGGGCTCAGATAGTGGGATCAGAGAGTGTTTTCCGCAAAGCTGTTCCCCGACAGTGCCACAGTGTGGGAGACCTTTTTATGGAGCCCAGTGATGACCTCCTTCCGGACGGCTAGGTGGCCCCGAATAATTAGGATGCCATAGGTTATCAAAGATCTGTGAGTCAATCAGATGAGTCACGTTTTGATGTTCTGCACTTCGAAGTACGTGTACAACGTACTAGCTTTCAGATTTCACTCACCGATATAAGTTAGGCATGTTTTTCCACAAATTTATCTCAAGTCTTCAAGGCACATGAAAGCCACAATAGTACGGATACCAATCGCAAAATGTTTCAAAGCCATCATGAAAATGAACAGGATTCGTGGGGATCGTTGGAGGAAGATGGCCGAGTTGCTATTCTCTTTATCTGTGATCGACAAGGCCGAGGATGTAGTCCTTGACTTAATAATGTTGAAGGTCTTCGGAGAGTAGTTGCAGCCGACCAACTTTAGGCACCTACATATATGGAACATAACTAACCGCATCAATAATAATCATTGTAATCTTACGAGAATTCAGAAGTTCCAAAGCTCCCTTATGCAAAATATACTTGCTTAATTAAATAAATATTTTCTTCTGTGTAGAGGCTAAACCAATAGATGACAGAATAATTTCTTTGTTTTGTATACTCACCCAGAAATGGTTGATTTTTATAAAAATACGCACACTTTTGTAGGTTGAGTAAGTAACTTGTATACTTTAACCCTGTCATACTTGTATTTTCTAAGTGTTCAGTGCCATCAATTATGTGTGGGCAATTAGCAATTGGATGGCACACTTATTCCTTTCAAGAAAATAAAATTACTTGTGCTATATACAAATCGTATACTTGCAGTGCATTGATGTGCGCTTCACGTCGCAGTTTTTAGACCTCTCAGATTATAATTATGGCGCCAACCTTACTGGTCTTTAAAGTACTTTCGTCTGTCTGAACACTTGTACTTCGGTGCAATCATGACATATGAGAACCAGCTTAAAATCAGACACACAACACCCCTCAGAACAGTGGAAAATGTGGCGAAATTTTCAAGGGACACGTGCATGTTACTCAGGTTGTTTTCCGGGGAAATGTTTTAATCTCTGTCAAAGTCAGCTCCCTAAAATATCTTTTTTTGTGTACCCAACTTCTACCACGGATATACATAGGTTTTGGATCGGACTTTGCTTTGTTTTTTTTAAATGAGGAATTCCCAAAAACAATCCAAAAATATTTCGATTTGTAGTTGAATGTAATATACGCTAAGTAAATTGTTAACTTGATTTGATTTATTTTGTAATTTATGCCTCAAGAATTCTAAGCAAACTGAAAGTATTTAAAAATTGTTTTGATTTACGTAATGCAATTATAGGACGGTATAACAATAAATAACTTAACACAACCTTGATACATTAATTAACAAAATTAGATTGGAAAATCGTTTAACTAACCCCCTGATTTTCTTTAGTTCCTTGCTGGAGCGGCTTTGCTCCTGGCCAATGGAGTTCGGGGACAACATGAGGACATTCCGTACCAACCAGTGACCAACATCTGCCAGACGTGCCTGTGCCTGACCAGTCAGGACGGGGATCATCGGACGCACTTCAACTTGGACTGCTCGGTGAGGAATTTCGAGCACATACTGGCCCGCTGGCCGGAGCAGTTTGGAAGCCAGGCGATTGCGTCCGGAGCTGCATCGGAGATTGTGGTCTCGTACTCGGGCAATAGGATCAAGTTGCTCCAACAGCTGCCGGCCACGAATGCCAGCTTAACTCTCTCCTGTCGGCACTGTGGTCTGCAGGATCTGCAGGCTCCCCTCTTCATGGACGTGCCCAATGTGGAGGCCCTATACATCAGCTGGAATGAGCTCTCTGACGATGCCTTAGTTCCGGATCTCTTCAGGGGTCCATTCCGCAACACCCGCTATGAGCCGATTGGTTTGCGCGACCTGGACTTGAGTCACAACCGCATAACTCGACTGGATCGCCGCCTTTTCGAGCACACTCCTCACTTGACCAAGCTGAACTTGGCCTACAACAAACTGAGTGCCCTGGATGAAGCCACCACAGCCTCCATTGCATCGGTTGCCACACTGCAGCGACTGGACCTCTCCCACAATGGCTTGTTGTCTCTGCCAGCACAGCTTTTTCCAAAGCTCACAAGCCTCCGTTTCCTGGACGTCTCCGGAAATGAGTTTGCCACTGTGCCTGTCAGCTTGCAGCAGCTAGGAAAGTCTTTGGTTCAACTCAACTTGGCTGGAAATGCCTTTCTCAGCTTGAAGGAGAATAGTCTACAGGGCTTAGTTTCCCTAAAACGGCTGAATATAAGTAGCATGCCATCCCTACGAAGCCTGGAGAAGGGAGCTTTGAACTTGCCTGCCTTGGAGCACCTGGATTGCTCTAGGAACTCCAAGCTGGAGCGCTTGGAGCTGGCCGATCTGCTAAGCAGTCGGAATTTGTCGCAGTTGGACTTGTCCAGGAATGCACTGAGCACCCTGGTTCTTAATGCCACCGGTTCTAGCAATAGCAGTAGTAATTCTACGAGCGAGCCCTGGCCACGCCTTCGCCGCTTGAGCATCTCCGGAAATCCCTGGTATTGCAGCTGCGAACTGTTCAAAGCCCTGGAGCTAACTGGACTGACTCACATCGACCGGGAATGGGATGGAACCGAGGCGCGGTGTGAAACACCATACCTTCTGGCCGGATCACCGCTCTCCAATTTGACAGCCGAACGGATCTGCAAAATGGTGATACCCAAGAAATATCGCGAGGTGGACGAGGAGCCGCCGCGATTCCTGCGGCGCCGCTATATAATACTCACCGCCATTATAGCCAGCATTGTCCTGGTAATTGGTCTGGTGATCGGATTCGTCGTGGTCTGTGTGCGTCGACGGCTCAAGGGCAGTGATTACGGAGTACAGCCCATCCGGTACACCAGCGTGAGGGGTAGCAATCTGTCGCAGTTCTCGCAGCTGCAACCCGCTTCTGTGGCCAGCAAGTTCAATAATGTCCACGCCGGGAGCAGCAGTGGTGTGACCACTGGTGCTGCCAATGCCTAACTCGGTGTTGAAATCCTAATTCGGTTCACATACCGAGCCAGCTGCACAAGATTCGAGCCAAAGATGTCCACGACAGTGACGCGATCCCAACCGAAAGACTTCCTGTGCGTGCTATCCTGTACATATGTAGGTGCTCCCTGTATTAAATTCCACAAAGGAGCTGATCCCATTGCCAGTCCCTAACCCCTAGTATTTAGTAAAGCCATCGATGTTTGTATTGTACTTAAGATCCGCACATTAGAGTGTAATAAAACATTTTTATTTCAAAATATAGTTTTAATGGGTGGTGATGATTTTAATTTATTTAAGTTTCTAAAGTTCTTTAAACCAAACAAATTGTATACTTTAACTCGAAATCTTCAAAATAGTCTAAATAAATATAATTAATGGTTGGCCATCCCAATTGTTTTCCCATATGTAAAGTATCGAGTGGGTCTACTTAATAACTTTTATTTGTTGCTTGCTAATTTGTATTTAGTTTTAAAGATGGTAGGAAAACATAAAACAAGGAACAACCGAAGGTCAGAAAGTTGTGTTCAGGGTGTAGTGGCGTCGCTTGGCGAGCGGTCTATCTCTCCAATTGGCTAGATAAATGATAAAAGCTTAAACGGATAATACCCGGAGCAAAGGAGATAACAGATAACAGGCAAGTGAACAACAAAACAAACAGCCAAACCGCCTAGCATTCACTTTCGAGCAGCTCCTCCTCAGCGGTGGCCACAGGTGGTGGTGGTAACTTAAACAGATTAATTGCCTGCTTCTGAGCTAGAAACTGACGCATTTCAGCAAAATTATCACGCTCCTTGTGCTGTTTGCTACGTCGCTTGAAGGCCTCTTCGTCTGCAGAATCCGAATCTGAGTTGCTGGAGGAATCGTAGATAGGGAGGGGTGTGGCATCCGCCAAGCGATTATCCTCTTGCTGCTCGACTCTTTCCATTTTGCCAAACAGCTCGTCCACATTTATGCCCTTAGAGGCCAGGACCTCCCGCTCCTTTTCCAGCATAACTTGTCTGATGGGGTCGATGCGATCCTTCAGTTGTTTAAGGACAGGCTTAAACCTTCCCTTGGTAATACGCTTCTCGAAGTTAAGCAGTTCCTTTTCCGGCGAGGGAAACGGTGCATTCTGCTCAGCTTCAAAGTGCTGCTCCTCGTTTTCATCGTACATGTAAGCATAGAAGTCATCTTTCTGCTGCGGTGCATCCACGTTCTGCGAGAACTCCACCCTAAGAATGCTCTCGGGAAATTCATCATCGAGATCTTGCTTGGGTTTCGGCAACTCTCCTTCCAAGTCTAGCTGACTGTGCAGAAACTTGTTGTATACCAGCATCAAGCGCTGGAAGTCATCACAGCAAACGGCCAAGGCATTTTCGATGCCATGCATATTATTGGCCACGGCCACCAGCTCTTTGGAGTTGTTCTTGTTTGCAGCCTCTGTGGCTGTTAGTTTTTGAAGGGTCACGTCCAGAGCTTGACACTCTGCGGCCACAGCCACCATACACGCACTTAGTTTTAGAGAGGAATGCTGCAACACAGCAATTGGTCCGCTCCGCTGTTGCTCAGTTTTCGTCGCATTCAGCTCAGCCAGTTCCACTTGCTTTCTGTTCTGCAGGGCTAACGCTAGATTACTAAAGTGCTGCTCCTCCTCTTGCACCAGCTGCCTCACCAGGCTGTCGATTTTCACCAGATCTTCGCTCAGCTGAGAGATCGAAGGACGAGTCGTGATGGTGAGTGCCAGCCGGAGCAGGTATTGTGACTGCACATAGGCGAAGATGTTGTGGAAGTCCTGAAAAAATGTGAAATTTAGTGAGTTACTTAAGAAAGTTTAATATTAAATATAATATTTTAGGTGTACCCAAAGAAATTGTATTTTACAGAAAGCATAGGTAAATTAGGAGACAAGTATAAATAATAATAGCAATAAACGAGTATAAAGTGCTTATCATTTCAGTTATCTGTTGAGTGCGTCATTAAAGATTACCATATCCACTGTGAATAGAAAATATTGGCTCATAGTGGATATCATTTGATATAATGCGTATCAAGCATAATAATGAATATTTATATAACTCTCTATAAGATTCCTTGCAAGCTTCCTCAAACCACATCTAATAAAATTTAGATATACAATTTCTTACCTTTATGTGCTTGGGACTGTAGTCCGTGACATTGTTCTTGAAGTACTCGCACTCCCGCAGTTCTTCCATGGGCGCATAGTAAGCGCCGTACTTTGTCGGCAGGGGATAGTCCGTCTCCAGTTTGCGGGTGGCATCGTACAGGATTTCGGTAACCTCCTTGGCGGCCGTTATGCAATCCCATGCGCGCTCGATTTGACGGGATCTGTAACGAAGCCTGATTAGGTATGTATACCTCACTAGACTGATATCTCTTGGATTACTCTATAAGTTCGGCCTGCTTCATGATGATGATCTCCTGAAAGTACGTCATATTGCGACGGATGCAGTTGCCGAACTCGTCGATGGTCTTGACCAGTTGCTCCAACTTCCGTTCCACGATTTTGTTCCGGCAAACGAAGACGCTCTTCACAGCGAACAATGCAGCAAAGGTGCCGGAAATGAGGATGGATGGTACCATGGTGTACCGGATGCCCCGTGGTGTTATCAGGTGCTCCAACAGAGTGCCTCCCAATATTAGGCAGGCGTTCCTAGTTGTCAGCAATTGCCGGCCGGAACCCGGTTTGGAGGACATCTGCAGCTCCTGCATGCAGTGCTCCAGTGCCTCCACATGGTCCACCAGCAGGCGCTTTGAGTACAGGATTTTCTGCAGCAGGTGATCCTGTATTACCTGGTTTGTTATGCATTAGTTAGTTCGTTTATTTATAGCAACTGCTTTGCGACACGCCACTCACCTGTTTTTGCTTCAGGTCATCCGCCAATTGGCGTCGCTCAAAACGTTGCTGTAACATGAAATGAAAGCATTAGTTGCATTACTTATTAATAATAATATCTATATTATTGCCGATGCACGCACCTTGAGCTCCTGCATGTTTCACCTTTTGTTGTTTAGAAAGATTTTATATTTTACACAACACTAAGTGTACTTAAAATACCAAAAATACCGCCAGCATGAGGTGGTGAAGGGTATTCCAGTCATAAATGTATTTCAGCTACTTTATATACTTATACTTATATGTCAAGAGAAGTTGCTTAGTATGTTGCAGTTATGTCTATATGAAATCATTTGTCAAACATTTGCACACTTCATCGTCTCTTATAATTAGCCAATGCTTTAATAAAATTATGCAAAAGAAGTGCAAGCTTAGTTTGCCGGGACAACTGTTGAAAGAGTTCGGTATTATTAGGCAGTTAATATCCGGTCTCACTGCGTCGAACAGCTGCGAGTTTTGCAAAAATTTGTTTACACCTTGAAAAATTAATACATTTCGCCCGTTCATCAGCATGAACGAGTTCAAAGTGCCCGCTCCACTGCCCAAACCAAAAGTAATTATCACAGAGAAGCCGCGCTCTGAAGTTCCCGCAGAGCCACCGCCTCCGCCTTTGAAAATCCCCAAAGCTCCCAAATCCTCGCCAGCGGCCGTCTGTCCGTACAAGGTACCCAAGTGGTCAGCTCCGCCAGCCGAAAATCAGATCTATAGTTTTGAGGTGCTCAAATCCGGTCAGATAATCGACACTGTGCATCAGCTGCAGCAACAGGCGGTCTGGACTTTTGGCCGTTTGCCGGAGAACGATGTGCCCGCCGCCCATCCGACGATCTCACGCTTCCACGTGGTGCTGCAGTACAAGCCTAAGACTCCGCCCAAGCTGGAATCCGATAAGGAAGGCGGAGAGATGGAAGAAGAGAACGAGGAGCCAAAGAACGATCAGCCAGAGGGCTGGTACATTTACGACATGGGTAGCACACACGGAACTTTTTTAAACAAGCAGCGCGTGCCGCCAAAGGTCTACATCCGGATGCGGGTTGGTCACATGCTCAAGTTAGGCGGCAGCACACGCGTGTATATCCTGCAGGGTCCCGACGAGGATGAGGAACCGGAATCAGAGCTGTCAGTCACCGAACTGCGTCAGAAAAGAGAGAAGGAGCTGGCTGATGCAGCCGTGGAACGAGAGCTGAGGCTTCTGGAAGCTGAGGAGCGAGAGCGCAACGAGGGCGTTAGCTGGGGCATGGGCGACGACGCTGACGAGGAGACGGATCTAAGTCACAATCCCTACGCCAGCACCAATAACGAGGAGCTATTCTTCGACGACCCAAAGAAAACGTTGCGCGGCTTTTTCGAGCGAGAGGGTCTAAACCTAGAGTACAGGTGCGACGAGCTGTCCACCGGTTCCTTTGTTTGCCGGGTGGAGCTTCCGCTCGACGATTCCAATGGCAGGCCAATCATTGTGGAGGTTAACCACAAGGGGCGAAAGAAGGACTGCGTGGTGCAGTGCGCCCTGGAGGCATGTCGAACGCTCGACAGGCATGGTGTGCTGCGTCAAGCCAACCAGGAGGCCCAAAAAAGGAAGCTGCTCAAGAAAGGGGACTCTGATGACGAAGATGAGTTTTGGGATCGTACAGGGGATGTGGCGCGTAAGAAGCAGCGAAAGGAGAATGCTGGCGTCAGTGTCACCCTTACCTATGAGGATTTGGTAAGTCACAAAAGCCTTTTCGATCAATGACTGACCAACTTTTCCACAGCTGAAACAAGAGATTGATCTCAACATAGAATTGGAAAAGGTGGAGCAGGAGATTTCAACTTACCAACTAAAGGAAAAGAAGCTAAAGGAGCTGGCGGCCAAACAGGAAACTGAAGGCGATGATCTGGATAACTTTATGGACTTGCTCACCAAAGACGTTGAGAAACTGGACAAGACGGAAATCAAAAAGTTAAGGGTTAGTAATTACAGAAATTAATGTAAACATAATAATTAAAGATCTTGCCTTCCAATTAGTTGGAGCAGCAACGACTCAAGGGCGAGCAGCAAAAGGTGGAACGCCTGCTGAAGATAGCCAAGCCCACTGCTCTGCCATTCACCACAAGCCTCGCTGCTGGTTCTAAGGATTCGGCTGGCCAGGAGGGTGGTGCTGCCAGAAAACAGCTC